CAGACACCTCAGCACAATAAACCCCATACACGTGAACCTAAGCACAAGCATTTATAAAAAAAAAAATAAAACTCTTCCATTACATTTTCTGCTTTTCTGCGCACAGCATTTAGAGAGCTAACACTTTTTCTGAGCCCTAAAGAAGAACTTTAACAAAATAGTTGAGGACTACTTAGCAACCAGATTAACTAGTGAGACCATAAATACTTTGGTCAGGAGTATATACTGTACAATAAAGCATTCAGAGGCAGATGTCAGACGTGTATAATGCACAAAGTTCAGGGGTCAGTACTCCATAGATCACAGGGTTTAGGAATGCATAATAAAAAGAAAGCATGGATCAACAGTAATCAATGCAGGCAGGCTGGGACAGAAGCTGCCAGCTGCCAAAGCATACAAGTGAAAAAATGTGGGTGGTCAAGTTGTTAGGACTTGGAGTACTATTCAACGGATTTGTGGCACATGTCCCTAGTTCCTGGAGCTAACAACACCTATGTAAGTAAATGAGATTTCATACAACCTCAATTCCAAAAAAGCTGGGACGTTGTATCAAATCTACATAAAACCAGAATGCAATCATTAGCAAATATCATAAACGCAGGAAAAACTCTAGGAAAAAAAGATAATTTTGAAGCAGCAACACGTCTCAAAAACATTGGGACATGGCAACAAAAAGTAAGTGGTACTAACAAGGAAGAGCTGGGAGAACATTTTTAAAACTAATTAGGTTATTTGGCAACAGGTCAGTAACAAGATTGGGTATAAAAAGAGTATCTTAGAAAGTCAGAGTGTCTCAGAAGTAAAGATGAGCAGAGGTTCACCAATAGGTGAAAAGCTGTATTTAAAAATTATCAAACAATTTCAGAATAATGTTCCGCAACATAAAATTGCAGTGACCTTAAATATATCATCATCTACAGTACATAATTTCATCAAAAGATTCCGAGAATCTGGATAATTCTCTGTGCACAATGCCACTGTCCTCTCTGGGCCAAAGTTCATTTAAAATGGTCTGTTTCAAAGTGGAAAACTGTTCTGTGGTCAGGTGAATTGAAATTTGACATTCAAATTTACATTCTGGCTTGTTATTAGCACTTAGTTCAAAACTTTGAATGTCTGATGGTATGGGGGTGCATTAGTGCATACAGAATGGGCAGCGTGCACATTTGGAAAGGCACCATCAATGCTCATAGATATATCTAGTTTTTAGAGCAGCATATGCTCCCATCCAGACAGTCTTTTTCAGAGAAGACCTTGCATATTTCAGCATGATTGCATACTGCCTCTATGACAACAGCATGGCCTCGTAGTAGAAGAGTCCGGATGCTTAACTGGCATGCCTGCAGTCCAGACCTTTCACCAAAATATATGCCTCTTAAAACAAAAAATATGATAAAAAAGACCCAGGACTGTCGAGCAGTTCAAATCCTAAAGCAGGCAAGAATGGGACAACTTCCCTCTCCCAAAATCCCAGCAACTGGTCTCCTCCGTTCTCAGACATTTACAGAGTGTGGTTAAAAGAAGAGGGAATACTATATCATGGTAAACATGGCCCTGTCCCAACTGCCATCAATTTCAAAATCTATTTCTTAAAATGGTTTTTAAACATTTGATACGTTTTCTATTGTGAATAAAATATGGGTTTATAAGGTTTGCAAATCATTGCATTCTCTTTTTATGCAGAATTTACACAGGGTCCCAACTATTTTGGAATTGGGTTTGTATATACACTGCTCAAAAAAATTAAAGGAACACTTTGAAAACACATCAGATCTCAATTTGGAAAAATATGCTGGATATCTATACTGATATGAACTATGTAATGTGTTAGGAACGTAAGGATGCCCCATCGTTTGATGGAAATGAAAATGATCAACTTACAGAGGACTGAATTCAAAGACAGCCCGAAAATCAAAGTGAAAAAATGATGCAGCAGGTTAGTCCATTTTGCTGAAATTTCATTGCAGCAACTCAGAATGGTAATCAGTAGTTTGTTTGGCCCCCACGAGGTTGTATGCATGCCTGACAATGTCAGGGCATGCTCCTAATGAGACGACGGATGTGCCCTGGGGTATTTCCTCCCAGATCAGGGCATCACTCAGCTCCTGGACAGTCTGAGGTGCAACCTGGCGGTGTCGGATGGACCGAAACATGATATCCCAGAGGTGTTCTATTGGGTTTTGGTCAGGCGAGCGTGGGGGCCATTCAGTGGTATCAATTCCTTCATCCTCCAGGAACTGCCTGCATACTCTTGCCACATGAATCCAAGCATTGTCGTGCACCAGGAGGAACCCAGGACCCACTGCACCAGTGTAGGGTCTGACAATGGGTCCAAGGATTCAAATGCCAATCAAGCTGTATGGTGCTGGGCAGTGAGCGCAGGGCCCACTAGAGGACATCAGGCCCTCAGGTCACCCTCATGAAGTGTGCTTCTGATATTTGGTCAGAGACATTCACACCAGTGGCCTGCTGGAGGTCATTTTGTAGGGCTCTGGCAGTGCTGGTGGGTTAAGGATCTTCCACGGACCTGTCCAGCAATCCCAGAGTAACTGCCTGTCTCCTGAAATCTCCTTCATGCTCTTGAGACTGTGCTCGGAGACACAGCAAACCTTCTTCTGGCAATGGCACATATTGATGTGCCATCCTGGAGCAGTTTGACTGCCTGTGCAACCTTTGTAAGGTCCAGGTATCACCTCATGCTACCAGTAGTGACACTGACCCTAGCCAAATGCAAAACTAGTGAAAAACAGTCAGAAAAGGTGAGTAGGAAAAAAAATGTCATTGGCCTCCACCTGTAAAACCATTCCTGTTTTGGGAGTCGTCTCGCTGTTGCCCATCTAGTGCACCTGTTAATTTCATTAACACCAAAGCAGCTGAAACTGATTAACAACCCCCTCTGCTGCTTAACTGACCAGATCAATATCCCAGGAGTTAATTGACTTGATGCTATACTCTGATTAAAAAGTGTTCCTTTAATTTATTTGAGCAGTGCAGTATATATGGCACCTTCTGGAAGGTAATGAGTAGCTCATAATTACCCATTAAAAAAAAGTTTTTTTTTTAATTCCATCATTTCTAAATCTATATATATGATTTAAAGAGAACTAAAAAAAACTGGTTAAACACTGATTGTTGATTGTATGGTTTCTTTATTCTGGTCCTTTTTTATAGATAACTGCTGATCGAAGACAATAGACTTTCTACAATCTCCAACAATAGTAAACCTCCACAATGCACCTGGTAGCTGGAGTTCGTGGATGATTAAACTCAGAGCTACATTTTATTTTTCACAGTTTTCACTTTTTTACTTGAAAATAATACATTATTTGTTAAAGTAGAACTTTACCCATAACAACTTGATAAAAAATAATGTTCTTTAGCAAGGAACATACATTGCACATTAATATTTATGCTACCAAATTAGTGTGTGCTTTAAATTGCCTCCACCATTGTTCCTGTTTCTTCTTGCGGGAGGCTGCCATTTTGCTGAAGCCCAGTGCCCCTGAGCATCAGTAAATATTTAGTCTGTCAGCAGATTGGCCTTGACATTTTTGGCACCGTGCTAACAAATATAGAGCAACTGAGTATATGCAGAGCCGAGGGAGACAGTGAATTACTCGGTTTTAAACAGCATAGGCACTTATTTTTTAAAGTTTTACATAACTATGCCTGCAAAAGGGGCCAGGACTTAATTTTCTGACTAAAGTTTCACTTTAATGCTTATATGTACTGTACTAATTCATGTGAATTGTTCTTTTAAATGATTGGTCCAGTTTAACTTTTTTTATACTATTACAGGTGTTGCAAGTTCTACTAGTATTACTAAATTTATATTATATAAAACATACCTAGTGATCCTGCATGAAGGTCCTTGTTCAGGCAATTTCTGTAGGGGGGCAATGCTCTGAAGTCAGATTATGAATTTCTCTGCTTACAATGAAAACAGTGCTGCAGGAGACTTTGAATTCAGTTATCCTCTATATGTCCTCCACAGACATACTCATCTGCAGACTCCATAATTCGCAGTAGTCTGAGTATGAACCAAATAAATAGGATGCATTTGGTTTACCATGTCTGCTTCTAATTAATCTCTGTTCTTTTTTTCCAGCTGTAGTCATAACTTTTCCTTTTTTACTAGGAAAAGTCACTCTCCTTAGCAATGATCCTAAACTCCCTGAACCATTTTACACATTATTGTTAATGTTCCATCAAGGTGACAGCTACACATAGTGCCTAAGTTCACACTTGCCTAGACACTGAAATTCTATCCACGGTGGATCACTTTTCAGAGTGTAGTTAAGCAGCTGCTGTCAGGTGTTCCAGAGGCAACCCTGATGCGTCCTGAATTACAGTATTTTTTATATCAATACATTTTTAATTGGACTGATTTTCTACAAGGGTGTAAATAGTAGAGTATATACAGGGAGAAAGTACTCTATTGTAGACTACAGATGAGCAGTCAAATTAAGGCTCAACTGTCAGTTTTTACTGCTCCTGGCCACCCATGTGAAAGAGGCCTTAATCTGTAATCTGAAAAACTTTCACTGTATAGGAACATTGGGGGTTTTGGTGTAGCAGACAGACAAAAGACTATATATCCAAATGGAAACAAGGCAAGCAAAGTCATAAAAAAAGCACATAGCAGAGGGATGTCTGTAAATGGGCTCTGAAGTGATCCCCCACATATTACTTTCCTACGAGTTTGTAGCACCCTCCTAGATTGGTGCTGGGATTAGGCAATTTTAGTTCTGGGCTCACTGTAATCAGTGTGGCTGTTTGTGATTGTTTAGGTCTGTTCTGTGTCTCACAGACTGCAGGTTTGATTGTTCTCCCTGCAATCTAGAATTCTCTGCGTGATTCTTGAACTTGGGTGTGCAGTAAGGCAAAAGGGGAGCATGAATATTTATTATTACAGATACATATTGTGACGGAGGGTAGGCAGGACAGAACACACAGAGTAGATGGCAAACGCACAAAGCTTTATTGAGACAAAAAGATGACAGTCACTCAATGGGGGGATTGCAGGGAGGGTGACCTCGCCAGTAAGGGGCAGCAAGGAGGGGCTAAAACACTTGTAGTCCAGTACCGAGAGCAAAGGAAAAGCCTCTGTAGCAGATTGTAATCCAACAAGGGGGGTAGGGGGTCAGCCCAGGAACAGTTCAGGTAAAACGGGGGAAAACCTATGCTCACGGATCCGACAGGGTGCCTGGTCTCCCAGGGATAGAAAGTAAGACACAGGTACCTGTTGGGGTCCGGAATAGGAGGGTGGTCTTTCCTTTTGGGCTGGGGTCTCAGGCAGCTGGCAGGCAATCTCCCCCCTGGACTGGGGTCTCAGGCAGCTGGCAGACAATCTCCCCCTGGGCTGGGGTCCCAGGCAGCTGGCAGGCAATCTCCCCCCTGGACTGGGGTCTCAGGCAGCTGGAAGGCAATCTCCACCCTGGACTGGGGTCTCAGGCAGCTGGAAGGCAATCTCCCCCCTGGACTGGGGTCTCAGGCAGGGCTTGGATGCGGTCCCCCTCCTAGCTGGTAGTCTTGGCAGAGTCTAGCCACGAGGGTCCTGCCACAGCTGGGCTCCCTCGGTGGCTGCACAGCGGAGAAGATGACCAGAGCGCCCGGCATCAGCTTCTTAAGCTGATGCAGGACGCTTTCCGGTCATCTTGGCAACTGGGGCGGGCCGGAGCTGGCATGCCTCGACGCCTGGCAACGAGGCACGCCCCCTGGACACGGCCGTGCTTCTTGTGAGCGCGACCATTGTCCAGGGACATCCGCAAGCGCGGGAACTTCCCATTCCCATGACAGGGTTGGGGTGGCGTCAGTCTGACGCCGCAGCCCGGAACATCCCCGCAGGAGGTGCACACCTTTTCACGAAGAGGTGTGAACCTCGCTACCTTCTCCTCTCCGGCCGCGCCGGAGGAGGAGAAGATAGTGGCAGGGGTGGAAAAAAACCGCATCTCTCGTCCTGCGTGGTAGGATGAGAGGTGGAGGGGGGTCATTTGGCAACAGGGAGAGAAACAGGCTGGAGACAGGGGACAACAGTGAGGGGGCCAGGGTGACACTGGGCCCCTGGGGACATCAAGGGGACCTGGTAGAGAAAATAGTTTAATAAAATTTGTGGACATTTAGCAAGCTGGCAGGGAGGAGGAGACTACAGTAGTTGAATTTGGGCCATTTGGCAGGATGACACGGAGGACATACAGTAATTAAATCTGGGGACAGTTTGGCACAAGGAATTAATGAGAGAATTAAGCAGAATTAATAATTGGCAGGGCCCACAGATGGTTGCTGGGAAAGTGTATAAATAGTCTGAGACCTGGAACAGAAGTGTGTTGGAGGAGAAGATCATGGCCTAGGGGGGCTGTTTTACCCCCTAGATAAGCCTACCATGTGTCTGCTGTTCACCCAGGTCTCAGCTGAGCTGGCTGGTGAGGCGATTCTTCTGGAAGTTGCTGAAGCTGATTGAGGGGCTTGTCTTCTGAGGATCAAGTCTGGTCTCACTTGGGAAAAAGTGTCTGAAAGATATTGTAAGGAGGCAACCAATCATCTAAGGACATTAGTGAGTACAGGCAGGTGTGAGAGATCCTAGAGACTGTGTGCTGTTGCCACCCCTCTGGTGCTAGAGAGTCAGCTCTGTTCAAAAGGGACATTGTGTTTGGTGTTCTGAAGAGCTTAATCTATTTAATTCATAAGGCTGGTACACAGCTCAACAGAAACTGACCGACATTAGGTCCATGTGGACAGCAGCACAACAGGCTTTTATCCAATTAGCATGTTGGAAAGCCAGCATCAGATCAGCGGTTGCAGCCAATGGATGTGCACACTGATCAGTGTGTTCTGGTGGGGGGGTGGTCCCCCTGTCAGAACACAATCACTAAGCAGGGAAGATCGCCGCAATAACATTGCTTAGTTAGTAAGGCAACCTATCAATTTTTTTTTTATGTTCAGCCCACTGGGTTGAATGAAAATAACAACTTCCTCGTGTGTACCTAGCATTAATGAAAGGACTTTGCTCTGATTTCTCAAGTTACTACTTCAAGGCTCAGTCCACCATTTACTTGTGCAAGGACTTGGCTCATAGTTCTACAGAGGAAAGAGTGTCCCACTGTTTGTACATAGTTCTGGAGTATCTCATACAGTTCCCTATCCCCACCCAAAAATAAAAACACCAAAAAGTGAATACCCTTGGACTGTTTATTGAGCCAAAGGAGTGACTGTGATTGTATGCCTGGCTGTGGGGCAATTATGGGAAAATACCCAAAGGACCTTTAATACTGAGAGCTCCTACAGGGGTACCGCTACATATATTTATGTGAATAGCAGATTTCCCCTGTACTGCACAAAGGCTATGTGATGGTTAGGAATACATCACTATTTCAGTTATATCGGGGACCTCTGCTTAAAATCACTGTCTCAGCTTAACTGGATCAATAAAAAAAAAAGGCAAAATGTTTTTTGTAGTATGAAAAATGGCAAAAAACAAATACTATTATCACAAAGGCCACCCTGGCATGCAAAATGGAGCAGTGTACCTTTTTTACAAATGCATTTTGTTATACTTTTTGGACAGCCCATACATTCACCAGCGGGTTGAACAAAAAAAAAAGAGTGATCCGATTCCCCCATCCACACATTTCTGTGCTATTGTATTCTTATGGCGGGGATACTTCCCCACTTGTCAGAATACAGTAATCACTGATCCATCGGGAAAAACCCCACAGGCTGGTTGTACAGAAGTCAATCAGTGAATTGACTTCTGTGTCCATAGAAATCCAATATATTGATATCAAGTATAACCTTGGTAAAGACCAAAGGAACATCCACAGTGGATAAGCCACTGGAACATGAAAAGGCAAGCAAAAAACCTGATTATTGGCTGTGATGGATGTCTAATAAAAACCTTGTCAATATCATCATGCCTAAAATGACTGCCATTTTTCTTACAATGGTTTGACATATAGGCAGGCCAATTCCAAGTCAATTTAATCAGGAACCCTCAAGTGCTTTGGATTATTGTTTGTCTTTTTTGGATTGACTTCTGTACAACCAGAGTGCCACACATGGATCGAAATTCATCCGGTCCCTGCTTAACCGGCTGTTTTAAAACAGACTCCCAAGTAGGAGAGTTTATCTGTACAATATTAGGATTTGTATAAATATAAAGTATTTATCTATATTATTATTATTGTATATAAATAATTGTTCTTCATAAATTTAGGCCAAGATGTATTCTGCTACATTTCTTTGGTGAAATAACCCAAATCAGTATTTATTATTTACTCTGTAGGAAAGTTATTGAGTCCACAAACTATGGAATATATCTGAAAATCGGTCACTCTTGAAGTACTGACAATCTAATTTCTTGAGGCCCCAAAATGTCAGGACAGTACAGATATTCCCAAAATGACCCCTTTTTGCAAATTGGACAGTCTGAGGAATTTAGTAAGAGGCATGGTGAGTTTTTTGAAGTTGTAATTTTTTGTCATCATTTTTTGGAAAATGAAGAAATTAAAAATATTTTTTTTTCACAATTTTTTTTTTTTTACATACTGTGACCAGCAGTAGTGTCATCATATGTGTGCAAGTGATCAGGGACACTGACTTGTGATAGTACGCAAAAAAAAAAAAAAAAAAATTTATTTTCTATTACATTTTTTTTCTTTTTTTTATGTTTTTTCCATAACATACTGTGACCAGAGTAGTTTAATGTTACCATTCTAATATTGCGCTACTCTGGGGAAGTGATTAGTATTTTTTTTTTTTTTCTTTTTACACATTATGATTGCTTATAGCAAATAATTTCTTTGCTATAAGCAAGCATTTAACTGAATGAAATCGATTCATTCAGGTTTTTTTTTTTGTTGTGATTAGCTGTGATTGGCCACAGCTAATCACATAACACTGATGGGCTGTGATTAGCCCAGTCTGTACATGTGATCACTGTGACCAATCACAGCTAGACACACTTGTATACAATGGATGGCTTGAAAGGAAGCCATCCATTGTTTACAATTACCATGTGACCTGCTGTGAATGGTCACATGGTACTGGTAATGGGAAGGTACACAGATCTGTCTTCAGCTGTGTCCGAGGTACAGAGCCGGTGACAGATCTCACCACAGTGCTGCCTTACGGGCATGTATGAGGCGTGATTCAGGAGAACATCATATGACACCCACCTGGATCAACGAGAGTCTTGCTCGGATGTCATTTTGGTATTAGCTGGGTGGGAACATGTTAAAGAAGCACGGGTCGCCTGCTGGAATACTTGTAGTGATGTTCTGACTGGAGTGTTGTTTTGTTTTGTACAGGTATTCAGGCACTGGGATGGCGTTTTCAGACAGTTGGTGTCCATTGGAAGGAGCAGGCCTCAGGAACAGCAGAGGTCAAGAGAGGATCCGGATCAAAGCAGAGGTCAGGTAAAAGCAAGTGTAGTCAGGAGGATAGCCAGGGTCATACAGCAGAGAGAGAGAGACAGTCCAGTAAACAAGCCCAGGTCAGATCAGGAGGCAGGCAGAAGAAAAGTCCAGAGGGAAGCCAAGTGGGTAATGGGTATCCACAGATGCAAAGGCTTCATAGGAACAAACAAACTGGAGAGCAGAAGATCAACCAGCAATCACAGAGGGTAACTGGCTTCCTTAAAAAGGCAGTATGGTGCCAATCTGGGCTGGGAGTGTGCATGTTCATGCACCAAAGTGCACATGCGTGTTCTGGCACGCATCTGTGCGCCACTCCCCATCTGTGTGTATCATTGTGCATCCATTGTGTGCACTGGCGTGCATTCCTGTGGCCATGTAAAGTTCTGGCAGGAATGCCAGGTCTTGGTCAGCCTCTGCTGCAGAAAGTACCCTGTCAGTTAAGCAAGGGATACCTTTGTTTCTTATTAATTGAGATAAAATTCATAATTATCTGTATCCCACTACATCCTACATATTCACACACAAAAAGCTCTGCTGTAAGGAAAGAAGAGGGACATTAAATAGACTAGTTATTGTGTACTGCCATTATTTTTCTCAGGTATCCTAGCTGCTGTAAACCCTGGAATATTAACCCCTAAATGTCCTTTAAGAAAGTTTTCAGCACTGTTATCTTTAGGGGAGGGTTAGGTTAATTTCATGTCACAGTGGATTAATGCTGACAGCAGAAGGAGAGGGGTGGGGGTAAGGGCCAGGCCTTGACAAGACAGATGACAGAACTACATGCCAATGCGTGAGAATCCTGCCCCTGCTCTGTTTTTCTTGCGTGACTGTTGCTTCCTCTTCTCCAACAGACAGTTCTTATCTCCCGAAGGACAATCTTAACTATTTTCCTACCAGGAGCCTCTGGGCAGTACTAAA